GAAACGGCTGTCAGCTATCAAAATGGTGAATTTCTTGATGAAGTGCCTGGATCCTTGGAGCATTATCTCTGATTTTTGTTTTGAGTTGATAATTGAAGAAATGGGGAAGTGTCAGTCTGATCGGATGGCTTATGTCTCAAGGGCTGCCTATGAAGCTCTGCAAACGGCAAGGCGAACAGCTGCAGGTAAAGGTTCGAGACATGAAAGGGCTCCTGGTTCGGCCAGTGGGTCAAATTTTAGTAGGAGAGACCAGAGCAGGAGGCGAAACTTATCGAGTGCCAGCGACCAGTCTCCTGCATCAGTGTCACACAAATCACAGACTCTAGATTCCTTTGCAGTATATGACTCATTTGTTGAGACACCTATAACAATGAGTTGTCAGGGTAGCTGAAACTCAATTTATGATTGTAGGAGTGTAAACCGGAAGGTTTGGAGTCATGAGAATGGAGGAGTTGACGTGTCTCTCAAGGATGGTTTGTTCTCGGAGATTGCTCGGGGTGGTGCTTACTCGAATGGATATCCAGGTAACTCTGGGATTAATGAATTAATGAATTCATGAAATACGAAGGAGATTGCAATGAGGAATTTACAGGGTTCCTGCAAACAAATCCTAGAAATGGAGTATCAAGAAGCGCCACAACTAGTCCTTGGGTAAGTTTGACATGTACATATGGTATTATTTTTCTTCTGATTGGAAGTTGCAATTGCTGATTTGATTGTTATGGGGGTAGAAGTAGTTATCCAACTAAATTTGGAGCATGGGTAAAAAGTTTAACTAAAAGTAATGCAGCAACAAAGTGAATAAATTCCTTGTTGGATTGTAAAAGTAGTATTGATTGCCCAAAACGCTTATCGTGTCTAACTCTTTGAAAACTTATCTCTGCTAAAACGCTTTGCATTTCAGAAAAGAGTGCCAATCGGGATGGTATGGTATGTTATAGTCGACAAAGTTTGTTGGGGAATTTATATCCCAAAACCTTAAGCAAGGGACATGAACCAGCACTCCTGTTATGTCTCCCCCCTCACATGTGGTTTGCTCCTCACCACCCAAGATGTGGAATTCAACTTATGCTGAGAGGAGGAAACTATAGGGATTCAAACTCATAATTCCTGCTCTAATTCCATAATGAAATTTGTTGGTAACTGTTATTCGTAACAGCTTAAGTAGTTTGTCAATGAATGTTTTATTTCCGACGAAGGTGTTGTGCTTACTCAAGCTGTCAACTGAAACTTTACTTCCATTCAGATCTGTCAATTTTATGATTTTCTTGTTTATTATCAATCTTGGTATGGTATTGCATGTTATGGTCTTGATTTTGACCAATATTGCTTCTCCTGTGCTTCAAAGGTCTCGCACTCCACTCAACGTGGACAGCATCATCTTCAACACTCCGAGAAGGCTTGTTCACTCTCTTCAGGAACCAAATAATGCCGACTCAAAGTTCTCCAAAAAACCAGCAAGAAGATCTAGAAGTTTATCCATGAACGAGTTTGATTGGAGCCCAAATGCCAGATACGGTCAAGATAGTTGTTCATATGGTGCGAACTATGATGACGGAGAGCATGGTAGCTTCTACGGCGGCAGTGAGCAGTTTGAAGGTGATCCTGAATTAGTGTCATCAACAGATTGCATTCCAGCGGATACTGATTTGCAGGTGTCTGATGAGGTGGTTCCAGAAAACAAAGTATCTCATGGGGTGGTTCCAGAAAATAAAACACAAGTTCAAAAGTCTGGCATAAAAAGACCCTATCGAAAGGCTGCTGTTAAATTGTTTTGTGGTGTTTCTTTCGCTCTACTTGCAGTAGCTATGCCACTTCTTTGGATTAATGATCAAGGCGAATGGCATGACGGTTACCATCTAGTTCCAACTTAATGTACTAGTTCTCTTGTTTTTGAACTTATTCTAATCAATCTGATGGATCATTTTCTTTTGATGAAGTGAAAAATGGTTGTAGACAGGAGAATCTCTCTGTATGTTCTGTAACCCTAGAATTTAACCATTCCAGCCAGATGTGGATGATTAATGTACTGAAGAGAATTGAAGAGTTTGTGTTCTTGAGGAAAAGCTTATTCATTGCTTTTGCTTATATACTTGATTGCTATTGAAATTTGTGTTCTTTTTTTCCAATTAAGCCTATATTTTTGTGGCTAGCAGTCTTTCATGAGGGTATTTGAAAGTCGTAATCTTTCGCATTCTGAGACAAATTGGAGTTTCGAAATTCAAACCAACATAAGCAAGAGCTACTTTTATATGTTTTATACACAATCTCAAGAGTCCTAACATATTCGTTTGTTACACCAAAGCTTAGAATATGAGAGCAGAGTCATGCCAAGAAAATATGCAGGTTGGGGTTGTGTAAGCGCTGTCCGCCCTTCGACTCGTTTGCTCTCTTAAATGCTTATAGCTGTCATCTTCTTCACCCTCCGTTTCTTCTTCAATATTTTCTCTGATTTGTATCTGCTTGGTTTCCAATGTTTTGATTTTTGGGTTCCCAGCCAGCCATTTGCTGCCATAATTTACTGATTTGAGATTCATTTTTCACGCTGAAGAAGGGAGGAATGATCCCGAAACTTGACAAAATTGGCAACCTGGTAAAGAAATCTGATCTTTCCGAAACAATAGCATAAGTTGCATCCGATGACAGGTAATTGGTAGGGGAGTGGTATTGAATGTGAAGCCACCAATGCAACTGGGAATTCTCTCTTCTTGTTCTTGCTACTATTATTATTACTTAGTTTTGTACAAGTGCTGGTGCTGCAACAAACTACAACAAGAAGTAGGGTAATTAGAGGATGAATAATCTGTGTGTTCAGCAGGAGAAAAAGGTGATAAGGATACTGTGCGGATCAACTGTGGATTTATCATATGAACTCAAGCATTTTGTGTTTATTGGCTGCTTGTCTTGTGATTTCATTTACTTTTGTGAATTTCGGAATCAGATTTTGATTTTTCGATTACGGATTAGTAAACACGACATTATAATTTCTGGAGACTGAATATTATTTGTTGAATCACATCCACACATGCTTAAATTCAAATTCTTTTGGGCAATCACTACTACAAACAAAAATTATAATTCAAGTAATTAATTAGAAACAGTAGCAAAAATTCCATCTGCTTGGAGCTGAACGAGAAGCTCTATCATCTTCTTTGCTTTCTTGCTCAATTGGAATCTTGACATCAACAGACCGTACAACCAACGGAACCACCCGCTGTTTGCGTCCCCTTTGTATACGAAAAACTGGGCGGCTTCTTCGGTCAGCCTATCGACACTGCTCAACCACTTCTCGACTTCAGCTGTGACCACCACTTCTCCCTTCCTTTTTGCATCTTCGACGGCTTGGATCACCATATCTCGTGTGGCCTTAAGCTTCTTGAGCTGTTTCAGCAGGTTATCGACGTTGGATTTGTAGCTTAGGATGTAAGCAACGTAAATGTCCAAGTATCTGGAGACCACGGGGCCACTGCAGGCAAGTAAATACTTGGCCAAGTACTGGCCGATTAAGGGTTTGATCGGAGCAACCAGTTGATCCACAAAGCACTCAATGCACACAAAAGTAAGAAACCCGGCAGCCAATGGCATATGGGAAGCAATCTTAGCAGCGGCACCCCCCAATAAATTGCGTATAAGAGTATTATCCATGCTCATATATATGGAAGCAATTAGAAACCTAAAAATATACGAACAAGAAGAGCAGATTGAACGAAGAGCAGAAGATGGATGTGTGAGGATGGAGAAAAAAGGAGGAGATTATAAGAAGGAACAGGGAAGCAGACGATACGCGTATCCTATATAATATGTTGAGCTATTGACATAGCTAAACAAAGACTTGGTGTTATGTTTTTTATGTTTATAACAAGTTAACAACTGTAAGGCATGTGGGGTTTGAGCCAATGACTAAATAAAAGAGACGAGGGTAGGTCTTGCTGCATACAATTGATCACATTTTATAAGAGGCTTTATTAAGGGGGTAACTTCTAAGTGCTAATGTATTGGATTCATGCCTAAGTGTTAATGTAATTGAAATTGATTGTAATTTGTAAGTGCTCGGTTCATTACCATTTCGTTTTTTCATTTTTATTTTTACCTTTTAAGCTTCAGACATGAGCAAACTACGTATACATAAAAATGAGGGATAAAAAAGAAAGGTTATGGGAGTACTATGCAAAAAAGAAGGTAAATACTACAAAATAGAGCGACGATGCGAAAAAAATCTTGTCGGACATTCAACCCAAGTTTAAGGGAAAAAAAAAAATAGTGCCTTGCTACAAAGAAACACAATATATAGCTTTAACCACTAGACCTATCCTTCATTTAGACATCTGTTATGACATCCTATGGCTCCTTGAACCAAATAGCATTAACTGAAGACCAAACCTTGCTAACTTGTGAACAATATGATTTGCCTCCCTTCGAGCATGGTGACATTGCAATTGCGGAATAAACTATAAAAATTAGAAAGTACCAGATATGTTTGTGATAGCTACCAAATTCGAAGCATCCTCTTTGTTACTTCATTAAGACGCTAACATTGAATTGGACGAAAATGTGGTATCTTTCACAAATAATTAAGTATTAATAGACATTGAACGAGTTAACTAAGTAAAACACAATAATTATGTTGTAAAAAATGACGTAATTAACATATATAATTCAATGATAGTACTATCTGCACACCTATTCCTATTTCTCACACATTTTTTTTAATTTTCGACTGTCAAATTCAATAAATTGAAGAAGATCAGTATCAAAAACTTAAAAAAAACGTGAGAGTCTTTGAAGTAAAAATCGATGTGTAAATAACATTTTCAATAATTCAAATTGCCACCCCTTATCCGGTTATCCTGCTTGGACAAGCACGAGACCAAACCGGCAACATCCGGTAATGGCAAGGGATTGACTGGCTATGTAAGAATCAGCCTGTGGACCTTATATATAGGAAAACGACAAAAAGTGGCGAAGCCGAGCCAGACAACAAAAGGGAAAGGCCTTCCTCGCACAACTCTCACATAATCCCGCATTCGCATTTCCTCCTCAGAGATACAAAACCAAACCCATCTCTCCCCAATTTCTTCTATCAAAACCTATAAAAGAACATCTTTTTTGAAAATTTCCCACCTCCATTTCCCAACTTTCCTCCGATTTCAATTTCCCTACTTCTCATTTTCTTTCCCGATTATTTTCGAAACCCTAGATTGTTTAAGGCTCAGAAATTGTGAGCAAAGGAGGTTGCGCAGATCTGATTCAGGACGATCAATAGACCAATTGCCTGGAACCGACAAGAATAATTAAAGAATTAAACTTTGATTTGATTTATTTGCTTATCGTAAATTAGTATTTTTGTGAAATCGACGGAGCCCTTTATAGTGGGATACTGGAAATGGGGGATCAAAGTGGATTAGAAGAGAGCCAACCTGTAGATCTTTCCATTCACCCCTCTGGCATCGTTCCCACTCTTCAGTAAGTCTCTCTCTCTCTCTCTCTCTCCCCTTTCGTTTGAAGTTTCTAATATCGTTTTCTCGTTTCAATATCCATGTCCAAGGCTTCTGAATTGAGTTTTGCGTAGTGGGTTTTTTTCGATCTGATTGGTTTCGCAAGCTTATGTTCGGATTATCACTGTATGGGGTTATGGTGGTTTTCAGTAGGGAAATGGAGATGAAATTTTATGGGTTCGACTGTTTCATTTCTATCCGTGAGATGTTTTTGTGTTTTTGAAAAATTGAAATTCTTCAAATTTTGTGGTGGAAGTTGACTTTTTAAAGCCGAACTATATGAATTTTTTGTTGTGTGTGTTTGTGTTCTTTGTCTAAAGCTTGTAGGACTGGAGTTTTATTTGCTAAGAAACATTTTATTAAATATTAGTCTCTTATTGGAAATGAAGCGATGGTTAGAACCTGTCATCAGAAGCTGCTGTTTGGTAGTCTTTGCATTTTGGAGAGTCTTTAGCTAAGTCTCTTTTTTGTTTGTTCTATGGTGGTCTTCTTTTCGCAGTTCTATTGTTTGTTAGCTAAAGTAGTTCTCTTTTCCGAAGAAAATAAAACTTGGACTATTCCCATGCATAATATCAAGACATTTTAATCAACCCTATAGGCCTCCCTTCTGTGAGCAATAACGTTCTGTTTTTCGAAGAAAAATAGTGAAGTTTCATGATTTATTCTTGTTTTGGTTGTGTTTGTAGGAATATCGTATCTACAGTTAACTTGGATTGTAAATTGGATCTTAAGCAAATTGCGTTGCAAGCTCGAAATGCAGAATACAACCCCAAGGTATGCAAGGCTTTTTGTAAGCTTGACTATAATTTATTTCAGTAGCATGTTGGTAATCTTAGTGGTGCTTGCTCACTTTTCTAAAATACTTTATAGAGGGTTCTTAGTGGTGCTAACTCACTTTACCAAAATGGTCTTGCTTGGGCCATTGTTTATACCTGAAACTATACTTACAATAAAGTCTGACTTTGTTAGCATATTTTCTGTCTCGTGAGACATTTTGGAGTACTGAATACTAACTTCTTTTTAATTCAATGGTCTTTCAGCGTTTTGCTGCTGTAATTATGAGAATAAGGGAGCCAAAAACTACAGCTTTGATTTTTGCCTCTGGGAAGATGGTGAGCCCTCCCAAAAATTTTTGGGATTCTATTTGCTGACAATGATATGATTTCATTTCAGCTGTTTGTATTGTTGTAATATCATTATTGAAAGCAATTTGCTTTTGAATCTTTTTGCTCCTGTTCGATCCCTTCTTTTGTGAAAAATGACTTTGTTCTTTAAATCTATGCCTGTTAGTGAGATTTGATAAAACAGTTTATCTTACTTGAATTGTACTCCAATTGATGGCTCTGTTATCTGGTGATGCGGCTGTTAGCATCATATTCAAAGATGATTATGTATTTGTCGAAATGTGTTTGGAATCCTACATACATGAGTGTGTCAATTGTCGGGTGCAGTCAAGTAATGATATTGCTTAATTCTAGAAGGGGAGCGTGTTTTTTTTCTTGCTAGTTTTGACTTTTGAATGATTTGAATCTGAATTAAAGTGTATATTTGATTGGTTATGGTCCTTCTGAATTGCATGTCTTGTCGAAAATGTACAGTATGTTGATACTTAAATTCACAAATTTTGATGCTCAAGATATATATTTGGTGACAGACTGATCCTTTTATGAGTTTCATTTTCATAGATGGCTGAATTGCATGTTTATATACTAAACTTCTATGGTAATAAATTTGGCTTTAAGTTTACATCATGCCACAACCCTGGTAACTATTGCATTGCATTTCGACGATCCTTTTTCAACTTGATATAACCCTCTACTTTCCCCACTCTCCCTTTTTTATGATTTTAAATCTTGAGTTATGCACCCATCATACCTTGGATGCGTCTGGTTAAGAGATTTAAATTTTGAATGTCTATGGTACTTCAGGTATGCACAGGTGCAAAAAGTGAACATCAATCAAAACTGGCAGCAAGGAAGGTATCTGTTGAATGCTTACACATTGGTATTAACATAGCAAACCATAGTGGTATATGTGAGTTTCGTAAGTTTTGACCCAATTTTAGGCATTTTAATTCAAACATAGTTTTATATGTGAGTTTCGCAAGTTTTGACCGGAGTAGAGTGTAAGTGGACTTTTACCCGTGCTTTGGAGCATCAGCCTTAAGTATTGCAACTTAAATATTTTTTCATTTGTTATTGGTCACTATCAGGAGTGGGAGTGGTTTTACTATTGATGATTATTCTCTCCGTAATTATCTTTTCATTTAGTTAGAAAAGTGAATCTTAATTAGGTTGCAAGGAATAGTGTCAGAGTTCTTTCATCTGATTTGATATTTTTGATTCCCAGTATGCTCGAATCATCCAAAAGCTTGGGTTTAATGCTAAATTTAAGGTCTCTCTCTCTCTCTCTCTCTCTCTCTCTTAGGTGTTCAACCCTTTAAGAGTATATTATATTATTTTAATTACTTCTTTTAATACATACTTTTCTGAACATCAGGATTTCAAGATTCAAAATATTGTTGGCTCCTGTGATGTTAAATTTCCGATAAGACTTGAGGGTCTTGCATACTCCCACGGTGCCTTTTCAAGTGTAAGTGAGAACCATCTGTCCCGGGCTTTAGCATTTCATAACCCTAATATGATTCGATATGATTTATAGTGTTTTTTTTTTTTTTTTTTTTGTTTCATAATATTTGTTTATTGATTTTAGATTTGTTTTATGATTTAATGTCAATGTTTACATGATCAAGTTATCTTCTTATGTGGGCGTTTTTCATTTTACGGGCTTATGGTCAACGAGATCCATGTATTTTGCGGTTTTAAGAAACTAGGAGTCCATTGCTTAAAATGCTTTCTTGAAAATACTTAAAACTCAAAACGAACTTCATAGAAAGTTTGCTGAAACTGGGTGTATTTCTTTCTTCAAGACTCCAGACATACAATGGACCCACATTCAATTAATCAATGCTATGAACATATCTTTGACCAATACAAGGACTGTATATACCCAATTATCGTAGACAGAACACTTTGTATGAACATTGTTATGGGACAATGGATAGACCTATTAGTCTAAAATATCGAGCTCATTGAGATTAAAATTTTAGTTTGGGTACGAGCGCATTAACAAAATTCTGCAGTTCTGAATTTTTAGTTTGGTGTACAAAGTAAGGCCTTCTACGGAATATGTCCTCTTTCCCTTGTTTCTAAGGCTTGTGAACACATTGCACTGGCTGCCCACTTGTATGCTTCATAGTGGTTTTTGCAAAGAAATAGTGTTATCTTGTGTTATGCTGGTGCAGTATGAGCCAGAGCTTTTCCCGGGTTTGATATATCGAATGAAGCAGCCAAAGATTGTTCTTCTTATATTTGTGTCAGGGAAAATTGTTATTACGGGTGCAAAGGTGATTTGTTGTTTGTCTATGTTGTTCAGTTGCTATTTAATTACTCGTGCTTTTGCGTTTGGACGATTTGCTAACATTTTGTTTAATTTGATGAGTTAGGTGAGGGATGACACATACAAGGCCTTTGAAAACATATACCCTGTCCTTACAGAGTTCAGGAAGGTCCAGCAATGGTGCGCCCTCCCTACCCTCCTCAACTCCCCAAACAGATACCACAAAGAAAGCATAATCTGTTGCTTGATGAATTATGAATTTAGGATGTTTGTTTCTCTTAACAGCAGCATATTGCTAATTGATTTCTGTTATATCTTGTTTTAGATCCTACTTATACCAGACGGCGTTAGCATTTGCTGGGAGGCAGACACGCATCTCTGAAGGTAGCTTGCGGTGCTGTGGTAGGCAATGCCTTGTGGTGCTGGTGCGACATATTTTTGGTTATTTCTGGTTGGGTTGCGAAGGGGTTAGCACTTAGGTGTGAATATGTAACAGGAAAAGCAGCTTTGTTGTTGTTGTTGGTAACTTGGTGTGGCAAGAGGATGCGCCAAGGCAGGGTTGATGGGATTGTTTGTGATGTCGGAGGAATTTATAAATAAAACGTTGCAGTTTTGATAGTAGAAACATTTTGATTGAATCTCAACGATAGTGTTCTTACCTTTCTGATTCAGTCAGTGTCTAATCTAACGACTTTTGAGTTGAACAAGTCATTTTGAATGAATGGTTGGTTAATGAGAAACACCATTCAATGATTCAAGTGTGCTCTGCTTGTCATCAACTCAATTACAAATTTAGAATGAATGAATGACTGACTGGCTAGTGCTGCTACTATTTAAGTTGTAATCAATTATAATATTATAGCATAACCATCACGGGATGGTCTAGTGATTAGGATGAATTTTAAGTCCGCACTTTATGCGGCACGTTGTGAGGTCGAATTGTCTCTGTTAGTCTTGCCATCCTTCGAAAGGTTGGACTGCCCATCCAGTCTCCTTTTTTTTTTTTCAATAAAAAAAAGGTTAGAATATTATAGTATGATTTGAGTTTGTTTAATAAAGCAAGCATGATTCAAAATAATGCCTGTCAATGGTAATTGGCAAGTAATCTTAAGAAATAAGAATGACCTAGAAGAATTCCTCAATTCCACGTACAAATTAAATTACAATTAATTAGGCCGCTGCCGCTGAAGGCTGAAGGATGAACTGAAACAAACAAACAAGTTCGCTGCGACGCCCGGGCCTTCTTCGCGCCGCCCCAAACAAATAGTTCCCTATTATCTTTTGACTATTGAGGTGAGGACCCCAAAACACCCTCTCGCTCAAGCATGCATGCATACATACATACATACATACATACATAGCTGCTCGCTGTGACTTGACTTGCAGAGCCGCCGCCAAAAAGTAAAACTAATCCAGCCGGCCGAGTGTTTTTCTCCGACAATTCACAAGTGGAATTCGACAGATATCAGCAGTTGAGTTCCGTTCCCTGAAAGACTGTCGACAGATGAGTGGCTCTGGCTGTCTCAAATCTTTGATGCTCGCTCTGACTCTCCACCAATTCCCCAACCCTCTCTTCTTCCATCGCTTCCCGCCGCTTCATTTCACAACCAAACCCAAACCCAAACCCACCTCAAGTTTCAATCTTCACAAGGTAGTAGTAATCACTCTTTCTTTCTTTATTACTTAAAAATTCTCTCTCTTCTCTTGTGAACCGCCACCTTGATTTGTTCTGGCTCTTTAATGCTTGACATTTTCTGCAGCGCTTTCGTGGGAGTGTCATCCGGTTGAGCTCGCCAGAAGAATATACTAGTAATGCAGCAGCAGCCAATGCCCCTGTCCTCGACGACTTTCTACTTCATCAAAATGAAGGTAATAATCCAAAGGGGATTGAATTCCTGCATTCCATGGAAACACGTAGTGTTCGTGCTAATTGTCAGACATATATTTGGCTTTTAAAAGGCTGCTCCAATTCCGGCTCCTTGTTAGATTCTAAGAAGCTTCACTCTAGGATTCTGAAGCTGGGTTTTGATGCTGAACATGTAATATGCGATGGCCTTATTGATGCTTACCTTGCTGCTGGTGATTTAGATGGCGCAGTTAGGGTTTTTGATGATGTGCCCTACAGAAGTTTGTTTTCATGGAATAACATAATTCAAGTGTTTGTTGCAAACAAGTTGACCGGTCAAGTATTGGATTTCTTTTCCCGAATGTTAGCAGATAATGTGCATCCTGATGAGACCACGTTTTCCAGGGTTTTAAGGGCATGTGGTGGCCGTAATGTTCATCTTCAATATGTCAAACAGATTCATGCTAGGGTTATCTGTCATGGTTTTGGTACTAGTTTGCTTGTGTGTAATCCCTTGATTGATTTGTATGCCAAAAACGGGTCTGTAGATGTTGCTAAAAAGGTCTTTGATCAATTGTATATAAGGGATAGCGTTTCCTGGGTTGCCATGATTTCTGGTTTATCTCAGAATGGACGCGAAGAAGAAGCAATTCTCTTATTCATTGAGATGCAAACGTCAGATATTTTACCCACCCCTTATGTGTTCTCCAGCGTGCTAAGTGCCTGCGCCAAAATAGAGTTATTTAAGATGGGAGAGCAACTGCATGGCCTTATTTTCAAGGGGGGTTTTTCTTGTGAAACATATGTATGCAATGCACTTGTGACGTTATATTCCCGCTCAGGGAACTTTATATCTGCTGAACAAATTTTCAAAACAATGTTGCAGAGGGATGCAGTATCTTATAACTCACTGATCTCTGGGTTAGCTCAGTGCGGATTTAGTGATAGAGCATTGGAATTGTTCAAAAGAATGCAGATTGATTGTTTGAGACCAGACTGTGTTACAATTGCTAGTCTTTTGAGCACATGCGCGGAAATTGGTGCTCTGAAGAAGGGAAAACAACTCCACTCACTTGCAATAAAAGCGGGAATGTCATCAGATATTATCCTTGAAGGTTCTCTGCTTGATCTTTATGTGAAATGCTCAGATGTGCAAACTGCCTATGAATTTTTCCTTACAACAGAGACAGAAAATGTGGTCCTGTGGAATGTGATGCTAGTTGCTTATGGTCAGTTGGATGATCTGGATCAATCATTTCGGATATTTAGGCAAATGCATGTTGAGGGCATGATTCCTAATCAGTACACCTACCCTAGTATTCTAAGAACCTGTACCTCTGTTGGAGCTCTCAATTTGGGAGAGCAGATACATACTCAAGTCATAAAAACTGGTTTTCATTTTAATGTTTATGTCTGTAGTGTGCTCATTGATATGTATGCTAAGCATGGGGAGCTGGATACTGCCCTGAGAATTCTCAGACGACTCACTGCAGATGATGTCGTCTCATGGACAGCTATGATAGCCGGGTATGCACAGAATGATCTATTTTCTGAATCTCTGATACTTTTTGAAGAAATGCAAAGGCGAGGGATTCAGTCTGACAACATAGGATTTTCAAGTGCAATAAGTGCATGTGCTGGTATTCAAGCACTTAGTCAAGGAAGACAAATTCATGCTCAGTCGTGTGTCTTTGGTTATTCAGATGATCTTTCAGTTCAAAATGCACTTGTTACCCTTTACGCTAGATGTGGTAGAATATGGGAAGCGTACCGAGCATTTGAGGCAACTGATTCTAAAGATAATATGTCATGGAATGGATTGATATCTGGGTTTGCACAGAGTGGGTACTATGAGGAAGCACTGCAGGTATTTACTCGGATGAATAAAGCTGGAGTTGAAGCTAACATGTTCACATTTGGCTCTGCAGTTAGCGCTGCTGCTAACTTAGCAAATATAAAACAAGGGCAGCAGATCCATGCCACAATTATAAAAACTGGCAACAATTCTGAAACTGAGGTTTCCAATGCGTTAATCACATTGTATTCAAAGTGTGGTAGCATTGTTGATGCCAAGAGTGAGTTTTCTGAAATGCCTGAAAAAAATGAGATTTCTTGGAATGCCATGATCACTGGCTATTCTCAACATGGGTGTGGGATTGAATCAATACACCTATTTGAGCGGATGAAACAACTTAGTATAGCACCAAGCCATGTCACATTTGTTGGGGTACTTGCAGCCTGTAGCCATGTAGGCTTGGTAAATGAAGGGCTTGGCTATTTTGAATCCATGAGAAAAGAGCATGGGTTAGTGCCTAAGCCTGAACACTATGCTTGCGTTGTTGATCTTCTGGGTAGAGCTGGTTCTCTGAGCCGTGCCAGAAAGTTTATAGAGGAGATGCCAGTGAAACCAGATGCAATGATTTGGAGGACTCTTTTAAGTGCTTGCATAACTCGCAAGAACACTGAAATTGGAGAGTTTGCTGCCAATCATCTTCTAGAACTGGAACCTGAAGACTCAGCAACGTACGTGCTGCTATCCAATATGTATGCAGTGTCAGGAATGTGGGATCGTAGGGATCAGACGAGGCAATTGATGAAGGAAAGGGGTGTGAAGAAAGAGCCCGGTTGTAGCTGGATTGAGGTCAAGAATTCAGTTCATGCCTTCTTTGTCGGTGACCGACTGCACCCACTTGCAGATACGATTTATGAATTCTTAGGGGATTTGAATGAGCGGGCAGCTGAAATTGGTTATGTTGAGGATCGTTCCAACCTTTGGAATGATATAGAACAGAAGCAGAAGGATCCAACTGTATATATCCACAGTGAGAAATTGGCAATTTCTTTTGGCCTACTCAACTTATCTAATGCTGTTCCTATACGTGTAATGAAGAATCTTCGTGTTTGCAATGATTGCCATAATTGGATCAAGTACACGTCAAAGATTTGTAATCGAACAATCATAGTACGAGATGCTTATCGTTTTCATCATTTCAAAGATGGTGTTTGTTCTTGTAGAGATTACTGGTAAGATGGTCAAAAGGTTACGAGGAGGAAATCATTGTTTGCACGGAGAATTTCAATCACTTCATATGATTGAGCCCCCTACTGAAGTTTCCTTTTATAGAATTACCGGTACGAACTGTAACCAGCAATTTCCTTAAACTGTTGTTTGTACAGAATTTTAGGGACCATGGCTTGTTAATCTTATGTGACTCTGTTAGCTAGCCTTGTAATAAGCAGAAATCTGTCATCTGAAATCTCACATTAGCTCTTCATTTACTTTCTCAGGCGGCCAAAAACAAGCTTCAGCAGTGTGAACTAGCTCTGCCGTGTCCAGTTTCCGTTAGCAACTGCTTCTTTCTGGTATTTGAATGTTCAAGGACTTGGTAGCGATTGGTTACTCCAGGTGAGGATTGCCTTTGCCCTTCTTAATACTGAAGCCCTGGATAGTGGATAGGTAAGTCGGATTCTCAAGGTTCTTTAATTTTTCGTTCTTGTATTGAAAGCAACAATATTAGTTTTCTTTTGTGACAAGGGGTGAAAAAAGAGGGCCAGCAACACTTGGAGACCATCAAACCAATTGGATTTGATGAGCTTGAGGATGAGGAGGAGCTTTTTCCTCTTCTATGGAAAAAGAGAGAGAAATCTCTTTGGTCACAGGTTCGATATACAAGTCCTGATTCTCCGATTTCTGAGACATTAGAGAGAGTTTGGACCTGCCTTTGGGAATTAGGAATTGTGTTATTGTGGTAGGCGTGCAACTTAAGTAGTGCATGAAACAGCAAAAGAGTGTTCAATGCTGATTGTTTGTCGGTAATTTTAGTG